GCCAGAGTCCCTCTCGTTGAAGCGTAACGACCGGCTTTGCACTGACAAACTGCACGGTTACGCTGACTCTACACACTAAGCGTGGAGCTCTATGGTATACTGATTAGAGCGCTCGCCTCGCAAGCAAGAGACCTGGGTTCGATTCCCAGGCAGGCGATACGTTTCTTACTCCACATCCTCTGTTTAACTAACAGTAAGTGGTAACTCAGTTGTATCGATTAGCAGATCATTTTTCTGGGGGATAATTCAATATAAATTTTGGTCACTTCAAGACTGTTTGTGGGTACCCTGCTGTGCGCAATTGGCTGCCGTGTTTCGCCCACAAAATATACAGTCAATTCACTACAGTATACTTACTTGAGATGTCTGAAGATGTGGTAAGGCGCTATATCAAATGCAAGGATTATTATTATCTAATAATGGGCACGACGATGTCACGGAGGTTTGCCATCGTCTTCTCCTTTGTGTGAGGTAGAGAATCTTTGTTCAAAGTAGGTTACCTCGGCAACGGGGCCTGTTCAAAGAGGCATCCCTGCTTTCACGGAAATGTTTTTTGGGAAACAAAAAATGTTGGCGTGATTTCCCCGCGCAAGATGTTTTCCAGATACGGGACAGAGAGAGCCAAGGATTTGTAAACTTAACAGCCCTGAGCACTGAGTCAGGAGGGATGGGGTGAGGAGGTGTCTTATTGCAGTTAGAGGATGCGCTTCGATAATAAAGGCGTATTTCAGATTGCTGGCTCTTTTGCCCTACCCTCCCTCCATCTCCCTCATGCTCTGGACAGGTTCTAGTTTGGCTATCACTCTAATGATTGATCCCTACCTGTGCCTGTCTCCTTCTGTGCTGTTCTCGTACTCCAGGTAACACCAAGGCTATTACTCAGCGCCTGATCTGTGTTTGTTCTGCTTGTCATTGCTGGCACTATGTTGTCACCAAGGCCTCACTATACTGGTGTCTGTGTGTACCCTACTGCTCATCAGACCCAGATAGGCCGGACAACCTGTGTGTGTGTGTGTGAGACTGAGTGTTTCAGGCCACAACCTCTCGGCTCTCTTCACGCTCACGTTAACATCCTCCGTATCTGGAATGGAATGCCCAACTCTCCAACGAGCGAGAGTGAGCGTTCCATCCCAGACAGGGGATATTCCCACGTGAAGGCGGTCCGCACTGGTTGGTTTGGGGATGGTTTGGGTATTCTTAAGTAAGCACGGTGACGGTTTTCTGCCTGTTTAAGATGCCGGCTGACCAGTTAAACAAACAATGGGTTGTATGAACCACTGCATATCACAGCAGTGAAAGGCATTATATAAATGCAATTTGTTGTTGGGATGTTTGAAAAGGAGACTGATAGATACTTGGGAAGTGAGAGAGAATGGAGAAAAAGCAGGTTAATAGGTTTAAAAGATTAATCTTTCTGTCTCTCCCCCCTCCCCAATCTCTCATCTGTCTCTCTTTCCCTCTCTTTCCCACTCTCCCCTCTCTCTCTCTCTCTCTTCCCCCCTTTATCCCTTGCTCTTTCACCCTTTCCCTCTCTATGTTCTGTCTTTTCCTCTCTCTCTTGCCCCCTCTCTCCTTCTCTCTCTCTTCCCTCTTTTTTCCTTACTCTTTCAGTAAATAAGAGTAAGTATTTAACTCTCTCCCTATCTCCCTCCTTCCCTCACTCTTTCTCTTTCGTTCCCTCCTCTCTCTCCTTTTCTGCTTTCACCATCTCTCAAGGGAGCCTGTTCCACAGGTTTACCTATCATTCGCTGAAGTAGTGTTTCCGCAGGTGTATTTTGAATTTACCCCACTCTGATCTCAAAAAAAAGTTGCCGGACTCATGAGAAATGTCGATGTATCGGAGCTGACCGCCACCTTAGGATGGACACAAGATGAGGTCAACAACAATAACAACAACAGCTTGCATTTATATTATGTCCTTCACATGGTGCAGCGTCTCAGTGAACTGAGTTACAGATGAACTCCAGCCAGTAAAAATAGGTACTAGGATGACAGAGTTAAACCAGGGAATGCTGCCAGCCCAGAGGGAAGTGGAAAAAGGTTGGCTCATAAACCAGAGAACGTGGGAAAACAGCTGAAAATAGCAGGTCTGCAGGAAATTCCTAACTAGGAAGTTTGGGATTGTTGAGATGTAAATTTACCTGTGTGGCTGAGAGTGACATTTACTGAACAGGGATGGAATTCAAGTCTGTAAACTCCGAGAGAATCTCAAAACCGTTCCCCATCAACATAACAATTCCCTCAAACACTCTGTTCCGAAGGTCATTTGCAAGAGGTTGGCTGGAACACTGAATAACATCTTGTTTAGATTAATCCAGCCCTGAAAGAGTAAGTGATTAACTCTCTACCTACCTCCCTCCCTCCCATCAAGCAATGTTACAACATCCAAAGAACCCCTGAAGTGGGGGGTAGTGGTGGGGGAATGCAATTTTTTGTATCAGTATTTGTTCTTCCAAAGAAGCCGTTAATCCTAATCCCAATTCCTGGCTCTTTCCCCCGTACCCTTTCTCTGTACATGTTTGCCTAATTCTCTTAACTGCCCCCAATGGACTTTGCTGTGACAGCTGGCGCTGGTAAATCATTCCGCACCCTGGGAAGAGAAGATGTTCCCTAAAATCTCTCTGTTCCTCCACTTCATTGAGAAGTCCAGGGTATAATAGTATAATAATCTTTGCGTTTGATATAGCGCCTCATCACAACAACAACAACTTGCATTTATATCGCGTCTCTCATGCAAGGTAGGTTCCCGGAGCGCTTGAACACAATTCACATCATTGAGGCGTCTCAAAGTGCTTCACAGAATATACTGTAAGATGAATTGACTGCATATTTTGTGAGCGAAATGAAATTATTTCGCTCCCTGTTCATTCCCCCCTAAAAAATGTCTTGGCGAGGCTGTACAGACGAAATACAGAAGTATTTAACCTGCGTTTTCACCTTAAAATGGGTGAAAAAATTGACCACAAGCATCAAACGTTCACCTGAAAGAAGTTTGGGAGAAGTTCGTTCATTGACATTACTGGAGTTGAGGCTGCTAACCCCGCCATCGTGGGGGTGAGGATTGGGTGAGGTTGGGGGAAAGGGGATCAGATCCTTTAATTATGCAGCAACAATGGAGCAGTCAAAACGTGTTGCTTTGGCTGCAACATTTCCTTCACATTCCAGTGGTCAAAGGTTCAGTCCTCAAAGACTCAGTGACCTTCAGGCTTGTCTGAGCCTAATATGGCAATGGTTTTGGCAGCTCTTGGGGTTGGCTGCTGATCGAGAAGTCCTGAAGCTTGAAGGGAGCCTTTCAAGGGAAAATGGGAAGAAAAACAAACCGTTCAGAAAGGAACATGTTGCCAGGGTGTGGAGGCTGCCTCAGACATGCACCTTAAATCCCGCACAACACCATTACTCACTGTTACTGTGAGTCACACAGGAGGGTTTCCATAGAGTAAATAGGGAGAAACTGTTTCTTCACGCAGGTGGATCAGTAACACAGATTTAAGCTGTTTGAGAAAAGAACCAGAGGGGAGATGAGGTGTATTTTATTACCCAGAGAGTTGTTATGATCTGGCATGCACTGCCTGAAAGAGTGGTTGAGGCAGATTCGAGAGTGATTGAGTGAGCGAGCGAGTGAGGTGAGAGGCAGGAGTGAGTGAAGCCAACCTGTGCACAGCAATGTCTTCATCACAGCCACAAAGCAAATGACCAGTTTTTATCCAGGGATTGTCAGCCAGGATACCAGGAGAAAATCCCTTCTCATTTCCAATGGTGTTCAGGGATTGTTAACATCCACCTGAACGGGCTCAGATGGCACCTCACTTTAGCCTCTCATCCAAAGGACATCAGCTCCAATAATGCAGCAATTCCATGGCACGAGGAGCAAACAGGTTAAGCTACGTGAGTTCAAAAGTATTGGCATGGGGCTTAAAGCCGCAACCTTCTGACTCATAGCCGAGAGTGCTACCAGCTGAGCCAGGCTGACACCCATGCGGTGTAGCAGGTCTCTCACGCAATCTCTTACATGTTGCAAATGAGAAAATGTGCTCATTACTCACTCAGATGCACAATGTGAGGCCAACCCCAGACTGAAGCCAGGGTGTGGCTGGGTCCTAGTTTCGAGTCCCAATCGCAGATATATGCAAATTGTTGTAATAGAGAGAGAAACAATGTAAACAATGATAATGGATGAAACTCTGGCTTGTTTATTTTTGTCAGCCGAGTGTCTGACGTGTGCAAAACCCATCCTCGTGCTTACGAGTATCCAAACCAAACTGAGAACTTCATGTGTCCCACCCACACATGGAAATTCCAGAGCTAGATTGTTGGAATGGAATGAGCACTCTCTCTCTCTCTCTCTCTCGCTCTCCTGGAGGCACACATCCTGCTTACCTAATTCCATAAAGTATTAGACGCAGGTTGGCAAGGCTTGGGGACCCAGGGTGTGTGTCGGGGTAACTGCTGGAGTCTAATCAGCTATAACTGAATTGCTTAATGTTGATAGGACTGCCTGGCAAGCTTTGCCTCTGCTTATTCAGCTAGGACAACAACAACAACAACAAAATGACATTTATAGAGCGCCTTTAACGTCAGGAGGACCTACCAAAGCACTGAACAGTCAGGTGTCGGAGCCTGAGCATGGGGGAGGGGCGGGCTTAGGGGTGAAGGAAGGCAGAGAGGTGGGAGGGCAAACTAAGGCATGGTCAAAGAAAAAGGTCTTGAGACCGGCCTCAAAGGAGGCAAGGGAGGAAGCGAGGTGAAGGGACCGTGGGATGGAGTTCCAGAGCATGAGGGCAGAGAGGCTGAAAGTACGGCCACTGATGGTACGACGGGTCGGGCGAGAGACATGGAGCAGCCGGAGCCTGATGAACGGAGGGAGCGGGCAGGTTGGTAGGGAGTCAGCAGGTCAGAGAGGTAGGAGGGGGCGATGCCATGGATGGCCTTAAAGGTGAGGAAACGGATCTTGAACTTGATCCTCTGGGGGATGGGGAGCCAGTAGAGTCAGGCGAGGGTGGGAGTGATGGAGTCGCGGAGCCTGGTTCGCGAGAGTTCATGAGCTGCAGAGTTTTGGATGATCTGCAGCTTGTGAACGGAAGAGTTGGGAAGGCCGATGAGGAGGGAGTTCCCGAAATCGAGCCTTGATGTGACGAATGCGTGGGTGAGGATTTCGGCAACCTGAGGGGTGAGGCAGTGGCGAAGGCTGGCAATGTTGCGTAGGTGGTGGTAGGCAGTGCCAGTCATGGCGCGGATGTGGGGAGTTCAGTGTCAAACAAGATACCCAGGTTCCTGACTGGCTTAGTGAGGTTGAGTGTGCAGCCGTGGAGACTGATGCTGCCAGCGCCCGAGGTGCAGAGGCGCTGGCACGAGCCAATCAGGAGGACCTCGGTCTTGCTGAAAGTTGTCCCTCGTCCAGGACTTGATGTCGGACAGGCAGTCGGTCAGGACGCTAGTAGTCCTGGAGGTCAGGGTGGAGGCAAAGAAATAGAGTTGATGACACTAAGGGGGAGCATGTAGAGGGTGGGGACCGAGGACAGAGCCCTGAGGAACACCACACAAGACGGTGCGGGGGCTGGAGGAGAAGCCGTTTGCCACAATGAAGTGGAGGCAGTGTGAAAGGTAGAACCTGAACCAGTCAAGGACAGAACCTTCAAAGGTTGAGGTGGGAGGAAAGGCGGTGGAGGAGGATTGAGTGCTCCACTGAGTCAAAGACGGCAGAGAAGTTGAGGAGGATGAGGAGGCAGAGGGAGCCCTGGTCACTGTGGTCAGGATGCGGTTTGTGACTTTGACCAGAGCAGTTTCCATGCTGGACCACCCTACCCATTAGGGCTTTGGTTTGCAGGGTTAACAACAACATATTATACTTGTAGAAAGCCCTTCACATCGGAAAGACATCCCAGGGCCCTAGACAGTCAGGGGGTTTTGTGCCTGAGCTGAGTTGGGGTCAGGAGGGTTGGGGGCCAGGGGTTTGGGGGTGGGAGGGTGGCTGAAGGCATGGTTGAAGAGGAAGGTTTATAGACTGGACTTGAAGGAGGCAAGAGAGGGGTTGAGGCTGAGGTATTGTGCGATAGAGTTCCAGAGTGTGGGGACAGAGATGCTGAATGCCCAACCACCATTGGTGGAGCAGGAAGTGAGGGGGACCTGCAACAGGCCAGTGTCCGCTGAGCGGAGGGGGTACAGGCTGATATGAGAGGAACAGGAGCTGAGTAGGAGGATTCCCTGCCCCCCAGTGACTGGTCTGGCTTGTTTTTTGCTGCCGTTGCAACAAATCAGGAAAAACCTTAAGTGCCCGAACAAATGCCAGAAAATTATAATTTTTTTTCCAGTTCATTTGAAACAAGACCTGTCTGAGAATCTCTCCACTAAAGCACAAACACGTCACAAATTGGGTTCTTTCTGCCCTGCGATTCAGGGGGGAACATGAAGGGAACCTGATGCTGCTTTTGAAAGAACAGTGGGTATTATTTTTCTCTTCTGGTATCTCTGCTTATGTTAGTTTCCTCATTCAAATTCGCCCACCCAAATTCAAATGAATTGGACGCTCATCTTACTGCTGTTTGTGGATGTTGCTAAGGGAGCATTTGCCTACATAGCAACATTCACTTTGTTTCCGATTAAGCTCATTCTTCAAAGAGCTTAGAGTCGTTGCTTTCACGTCAAGGGTTAGCTACTCTCCAGAACAACTTAATAATAAATAATGATGTTCCTTGTGTTTGACGCTCCGCCTTATCACATCAAAATGCCACAAAGCGCGTCACAGGGTTTACTATAAAGTGTAGTCACTGTGTATCTGTAGGTGAACTTGCACTTGTAATAGTAGCACCTTCCACATAGCTAAAAGTCTCTACAGAGACCTACTGTGATGGAAATGGGGGTGAGGGGGTGCAAGATTGGCAGTGCACGTGACTTCATATAAAGCTGACAAAAGGACTCCCCAGATAAAGACATTGCTGTGTGTTAGTTGTCTGGCCCGCTGAGTCCTGATCAGGTCAATGACGTCCGTCCCGTATTTCTTCGATTCGTAATCAAACCTCTGTTTCAGGAACTGAGAAATTCAAATAGTAAAAGTCAATGCCAAGTTGAAATTGTGCTCACTAAACCTATCATTGTGTTCTGCGGCAATACAAATGGAGTATAGACTTCCTCTTTTCCTTTGAGTTTGTGGTGGGTGGGGGGACTAAGGGGTTGGCAGGGGAAGCCTTGGAACATCCTCCCGATGTAAAATGCAATTTGTTGTTGTTAAACATTAAGCAGGCTTTATGGCACAAGCAGGGTTCTCCATCAACATGGGAGAATTTATATGAGTCAATTCTCTGAGGTTGACCCAATGACCAGATACTGAATGAGACAACACCGGTAGTACTCCAGGGCAATACTGACACGAACTGACCGCTTGGCTGGTCAATATTTTATGCCCAAGAGTTTTTAAGTTCTTTTAAGAGCATATTAAGACAAATGCTTCAAAAATAAGATGATTAACAAAAATGGGTGTGGGGAACGAGAGGGAAAGTGGATTAGGTTTGGTAGCACATGTGGAAATAAACGTCAGATCACACTCGATGGGCTGAATGGCCTATTATTGTGATGTAACATTTTGTCATTCTACACACCGCAAACCAGTCAGAATTTTCTTACTGTAATGCGATTGAAATCCTGAACGGCCATGTATAGTGCCACAGCGGTTAGAACGTCCATCGTCTGCGGAGAAAGAAATCACGTGGAGTTAAAAGCAAACACAGATTCAACCGAAATACTGAAAATTAGCTCCATACCAGAAGATAGGCTTCAACAACATTTACTACTCACCATGAAAACAAACTCAGCATAATCAATGAGGAAATGAAAGATGTATATCATAAACGGTGTCTGAAAAGGAAACTCATTATTAGTAATAATAGCAGCGATCACAGCAAGGATGCCATTTTGAAATACATCCAGTTCAGTTTCCTGTCATATTTAGACTGAGCAGTAATTGATATCTGCGTAGCACACATGCCATTTGAGACAATAGATTGCACAGGAACAGGAGAAGGCCATTTAGCCACCTCAAGCCTGTTCTGCCATTCTATAAGAGATCACGGCTTATCTGTATCTCAACTCCAATGACCTACCTTTGCTCCAATTCCCTTCATACGCTGACCTAACAAAAATCTATCCACCTCAGTCTTGAAAATTTCAATGGATCCAACATCTACCTTTTATACAATTACAACAACAAAATTACATTTGTATAGTGCTTTTAACATCGGGAGGACATCCCAAGGCACTGGACAGACAGAGTTACGGACTTGAGCCGGGGGTCGGATGGGGGGGAAGCAGGGGCGAAAGCGACAAACTTTCGAAGAGGAGGGTCTTGATTTGGGTCTTGAAGGAGGCAAGGGAGGGGGGAGATGGAGGGACTGCGGAATGGAGTTCCAGAGGGTGGGTGCGGAATGGCGGAAGGCCCGCCCGCCAATAGTGGGGCGAGCAAAGCGGGGACGTGAAGCAGGCTGGATCCCGCTGAGCGACCAGGGTGGTAGGGGGTTAGGAGGTCGGAGAGGTAGGGGGAGCAAGCGGGCCAGACAACTAACACACAGCAATGTCTTTATCTGGGGAGTCCTTTTGTCAGCTTTATATGAAGTCACGTGCACTGCCAATCTTGCACCCCCTCACCCCCATTTCCATCACAGTAGGTCTCTGTAGAGACTTTTAGCTATGTGGAAGGTGCTACTATTACAAGTGCAAGTTCACCTACAGATACACAGTGACTACACTTTATAGTAAACCCTGTGACGCGCTTTGTGGCATTTTGATGTGATAAGGCGGAGCGTCAAACACAAGGAACATCATTATTTATTATTAAGTTGTTCTGGAGAGTAGCTAACCCTTGACGTGAAAGCAACGACTCTAAGCTCTTTGAAGAATGAGCTTAATCGGAAACAAAGTGAATGTTGCTATGTAGGCAAATGCTCCCTTAGCAACATCCACAAACAGCAGTAAGATGAGCGTCCAATTCATTTGAATTTGGGTGGGCGAATTTGAATGAGGAAACTAACATAAGCAGAGATACCAGAAGAGAAAAATAATACCCACTGTTCTTTCAAAAGCAGCATCAGGTTCCCTTCATGTTCCCCCCTGAATCGCAGGGCAGAAAGAACCCAATTTGTGACGTGTTTGTGCTTCAGTGGAGAGATTCTCAGATAGGTCTTGTTTCAAATGAACTGGAAAAAAAATTATAATTTTCTGGCATTTGTTCGGGCACTTAAGGTTTTTCCTGATTTGTTGCAACGGCAGCAAAAAACAAGCCAGACCAGTCACTGGGGGGCAGGGAATCCTCCTACTCAGCTCCTGTTCCTCTCATATCAGCCTGTACCCCCTCCGCTCAGCGGACACTGGCCTGTTGCAGGTCCCCCTCACTTCCTGCTCCACCAATGGTGGTCGGGCATTCAGCATCTCTGCCCCCACACTCTGAAACTCTATCCTGCAATCCCTCCGCCTCACCCCCTCTCTTGCCTCCTTCAAGTCCCGTCTAAATACCTTCCTCTTCAACCATGCCTTCAGCCACCCTCCCACCCCCAAACCCCTGGCCCCCAACCCTCCTGACCCCAACTCCCAGCTCAGGCCCAAAACCCCCTGACTGTCTAGGGCCCTGGGATGTCTTTCCGATGTGAAGGGCTTTCTACAAGTATAATATGTTGTTGTTAACCCTGCAAACCAAAGCCCTAATGGGTAGGGTGGTCCAGCATGGAAACTGCTCTGGTCAAAGTCACAAACCGCATCCTGACCACAGTGACCAGGGCTCCCTCTGCCTCCTCATCCTCCTCAACTTCTCTGCCGTCTTTGACTCAGTGGAGCACTCAATCCTCCTCCACCGCCTTTCCTCCCACCTCAACCTTTGAAGGTTCTGTCCTTGACTGGTTCAGGTTCTACCTTTCACACTGCCTCCACTTCATTGTGGCAAACGGCTTCTCCTCCAGCCCCCGCACCGTCTTGTGTGGTGTTCCTCAGGGCTCTGTCCTCGGTCCCCACCCTCTACATGCTCCCCCTTAGTGTCATCAACTCTATTTCTTTGCCTCCACCCTGACCTCCAGGACTACTAGCGTCCTGACCGACTGCCTGTCCGACATCAAGTCCTGGACGAGGGACAACTTTCAGCAAGACCGAGGCCCTCCTGATTGGCTCGTGCCAGCGCCTCTGCACCTCGGGCGCTGGCAGCATCAGTCTCCACGGCTGCACACTCAACCTCACTAAGCCAGTCAGGAACCTGGGTATCTTGTTTGATACTGAACTCCCCACATCCGCGCCATGACTGGCACTGCCTACCACCACCTACGCAACATTGCCAGCCTTTGCCACTGCCTCACCCCTCAGGTTGCCGAAATCCTCACCCACGCATTCGTCACATCAAGGCTCGATTTCGGGAACTCCCTCCTCATCGGCCTTCCCAACTCTTCCGTTCACAAGCTGCAGATCATCCAAAACTCTGCAGCTCATGAACTCTCGCGAACCAGGCTCCGCGACTCCATCACTCCCACCCTCGCCTGACTCTACTGGCTCCCCATCCCCCAGAGGATCAAGTTCAAGATCCGTTTCCTCACCTTTAAGGCCATCCATGGCATCGCCCCCTCCTACCTCTCTGACCTGCTGACTCCCTACCAACCTGCCCGCTCCCTCCGTTCATCAGGCTCCGGCTGCTCCATGTCTCTCGCCCGACCCGTCGTACCATCAGTGGCCGTACCTTCAGCCTCTCTGCCCTCATGCTCTGGAACTCCATCCCACGGTCCCTTCACCTCGCTTCCTCCCTTGCCTCCTTTGAGGCCGGTCTCAAGACCTTTTTCTTTGACCATGCCTTAGTTTGCCCTCCCACCTCTCTGCCTTCCTTCACCCCTAAGCCCGCCCCTCCCCCATGCTCAGGCTCCGACACCTGACTGTTCAGTGCTTTGGTAGGTCCTCCTGACGTTAAAGGCGCTCTATAAATGTCATTTTGTTGTTGTTGTTGTTGTCCTAGCTGAATAAGCAGAGGCAAAGCTTGCCAGGCAGTCCTATCAACATTAAGCAATTCAGTTATAGCTGATTAGACTCCAGCAGTTACCCCGACACACACCCTGGGGTCCCCAAGCCTTGCCAACCTGCGTCTAATACTTTATGGAATTAGGTAAGCAGGATGTGTGCCTCCAGGGAGAGCGAGAGAGAGAGAGAGAGAGAGTGCTCATTCCATTCCAACAATCTAGCTCTGGAATTTCCATGTGTGGGTGGGACACATGAAGTTCTCAGTTTGGTTTGGATACTCGTAAGCACGAGGATGGGTTTTGCACACGTCAGACACTCGGCTGACAAAAAAAACAAGCCAGAGTTTCATCCATTATCATTGTTTACATTGTTTCTCTCTCTATTACAACAATTTGCATATATCTGCGATTGGGACTCGAAACTAGGACCCAGCCACACCCTGGCTTCAGTCTGGGGTTGGCCTCACATTGTGCATCTGAGTGAGTAATGAGCACATTTTCTCATTTGCAACATGTAAGAGATTGCGTGAGAGACCTGCTACACCGCATGGGTGTCAGCCTGGCTCAGCTGGTAGCACTCTCGGCTATGAGTCAGAAGGTTGCGGCTTTAAGCCCCATGCCAATACTTTGAACTCACGTAGCTTAACCTGTTTGCTCCTCGTGCCATGGAATTGCTGCATTATTGGAGCTGATGTCCTTTGGATGAGAGGCTAAAGTGAGGTGCCATCTGAGCCCGTTCAGGTGGATGTTAACAATCCCTGAACACCATTGGAAATGAGAAGGGATTTTCTCCTGGTATCCTGGCTGACAATCCCCTGGATAAAAACTGGTCATTTGCTTTGTGGCTGTGATGAAGACATTGCTGTGCACAGGTTGGCTTCACTCACTCCTGCCTCTCACCTCACTCGCTCGCTCACTCAATCACTCTCGAATCTGCCTCAACCACTCTTTCAGGCAGTGCATGCCAGATCATAACAACTCTCTGGGTAATAAAATACACCTCATCTCCCCTCTGGTTCTTTTCTCAAACAGCTTAAATCTGTGTTACTGATCCACCTGCGTGAAGAAACAGTTTCTCCCTATTTACTCTATGGAAACCCCTCCTGTGTGACTCACAGTAACAGTGAGTAATGGTGTTGTGCGGGATTTAAGGTGCATGTCTGAGGCAGCCTCCACACCCTGGCAACATGTTCCTTTCTGAACGGTTTGTTTTTCTTCCCATTTTCCCTTGAAAGGCTCCCTTCAAGCTTCAGGACTTCTCGATCAGCAGCCAACCCCAAGAGCTGCCAAAACCATTGCCATATTAGGCTCAGACAAGCCTGAAGGTCACTGAGTCTTTGAGGACTGAACCTTTGACCACTGGAATGTGAAGGAAATGTTGCAGCCAAAGCAACACGTTTTGACTGCTCCATTGTTGCTGCATAATTAAAGGATCTGATCCCCTTTCCCCCAACCTCACCCAATCCCCACCCCCACGATGGCGGGGTTAGCAGCCTCAACTCCAGTAATGTCAATGAACGAACTTCTCCCAAACTTCTTTCAGGTGAACGTTTGATGCTTGTGGTCAATTTTTTCACCCATTTTAAGGTGAAAACGCAGGTTAAATACTTCTGTATTTCGTCTGTACAGCCTCGCCAAGACATTTTTTAGGGGGGAATGAACAGGGAGCGAAATAATTTCATTTCGCTCACAAAATATGCAGTCAATTCATCTTACAGTATATTCTGTGAAGCACTTTGAGACGCCTCAATGATGTGAATTGTGTTCAAGCGCTCCGGGAACCTACCTTGCATGAGAGACGCGATATAAATGCAAGTTGTTGTTGTTGTGATGAGGCGCTATATCAAACGCAAAGATTATTATACTATTATACCCTGGACTTCTCAATGAAGTGGAGGAACAGAGAGATTTTAGGGAACATCTTCTCTTCCCAGGGTGCGGAATGATTTACCAGCGCCAGCTGTCACAGCAAAGTCCATTGGGGGCAGTTAAGAGAATTAGGCAAACATGTACAGAGAAAGGGTACGGGGGAAAGAGCCAGGAATTGGGATTAGGATTAACGGCTTCTTTGGAAGAACAAATACTGATACAAAAAATTGCATTCCCCCACCACTACCCCCCACTTCAGGGGTTCTTTGGATGTTGTAACATTGCTTGATGGGAGGGAGGGAGGTAGGTAGAGAGTTAATCACTTACTCTTTCAGGGCTGGATTAATCTAAACAAGATGTTATTCAGTGTTCCAGCCAACCTCTTGCAAATGACCTTCGGAACAGAGTGTTTGAGGGAATTGTTATGTTGATGGGGAACGGTTTTGAGATTCTCTCGGAGTTTACAGACTTGAATTCCATCCCTGTTCAGTAAATGTCACTCTCAGCCACACAGGTAAATTTACATCTCAACAATCCCAAACTTCCTAGTTAGGAATTTCCTGCAGACCTGCTATTTTCAGCTGTTTTCCCACGTTCTCTGGTTTATGAGCCAACCTTTTTCCACTTCCCTCTGGGCTGGCAGCATTCCCTGGTTTAACTCTGTCATCCTAGTACCTATTTTTACTGGCTGGAGTTCATCTGTAACTCAGTTCACTGAGACGCTGCACCATGTGAAGGACATAATATAAATGCAAGCTGTTGTTGTTATTGTTGTTGACCTCATCTTGTGTCCATCCTAAGGTGGCGGTCAGCTCCGATACATCGACATTTCTCATGAGTCCGGCAACTTTTTTTTGAGATCAGAGTGGGGTAAATTCAAAATACACCTGCGGAAACACTACTTCAGCGAATGATAGGTAAACCTGTGGAACAGGCTCCCTTGAGAGATGGTGAAAGCAGAAAAGGAGAGAGAGGAGGGAACGAAAGAGAAAGAGTGAGGGAAGGAGGGAGATAGGGAGAGAGTTAAATACTTACTCTTATTTACTGAAAGAGTAAGGAAAAAAGAGGGAAGAGAGAGAGAAGGAGAGAGGGGGCAAGAGAGAGAGGAAAAGACAGAACATAGAGAGGGAAAGGGTGAAAGAGCAAGGGATAAAGGGGGGAAGAGAGAGAGAGAGAGAGGGGAGAGTGGGAAAGAGAGGGAAAGAGAGACAGATGAGAGATTGGGGAGGGGGGAGAGACAGAAAGATTAATCTTTTAAACCTATTAACCTGCTTTTTCTCCATTCTCTCTCACTTCCCAAGTATCTATCAGTCTCCTTTTCAAACATCCCAACAACAAATTGCATTTATATAATGCCTTTCACTGCTGTGATATGCAGTGGTTCATACAACCCATTGTTTGTTTAACTGGTCAGCCGGCATCTTAAACAGGCAGAAAACCGTCACCGTGCTTACTTAAGAATACCCAAACCATCCCCAAACCAACCAGTGCGGACCGCCTTCACGTGGGAATATCCCCCTGTCTGGGATGGAACGCTCACTCTCGCTCGTTGGAGAGTTGGGCATTCCATTCCAGATACGGAGGATGTTAACGTGAGCGTGAAGAGAGCCAAGAGGTTGTGGCCTGAAACACTCAGTCTCACACACACACACACAGGTTGTCCGGCCTATCTGGGTCTGATGAGCAGTAGGGTACACACAGACACCAGTATAGTGAGGCCTTGGTGACAACATAGTGCCAGCAATGACAAGCAGAACAAACACAGATCAGGCGCTGAGTAATAGCCTTGGTGTTACCTGGAGTACGAGAACAGCACAGAAGGAGACAGGCACAGGTAGGGATCAATCATTAGAGTGATAGCCAAACTAGAACCTGTCCAGAGCATGAGGGAGATGGAGGGAGGGTAGGGCAAAAGAGCCAGCAATCTGAAATACGCCTTTATTATCGAAGCGCATCCTCTAACTGCAATAAGACACCTCCTCACCCCATCCCTCCTGACTCAGTGCTCAGGGCTGTTAAGTTTACAAATCCTTGGCTCTCTCTGTCCCGTATCTGGAAAACATCTTGCGCGGGGAAATCACGCCAACATTTTTTGTTTCCCAAAAAACATTTCCGTGAAAGCAGGGATGCCTCTTTGAACAGGCCCCGTTGCCGAGGTAACCTACTTTGAACAAAGATTCTCTACCTCACACAAAGGAGAAGACGATGGCAAACCTCCGTGACATCGTCGTGCCCATTATTAGATAATAATAATCCTTGCATTTGATATAGCGCCTTACCACATCTTCTAGACATCTCAGAATATACTGCTGAGTGAATTGACTGTATATTTTGTGGGCGAAACACGGCAGCCAATTGCGCACAGCAGGGTACCCACAAACGTTTGTGGATTACCCCCAGAAAAATGATCTGCTAATCGACTGACAACTGAGTTACCACTTACTGTTAGTTAAACAGAGGCATGTGGAGTAAAGAAACGTATCGGCCTGCCTGGGAATCGAACCCAGGTGCTCTTGCTTGCGAGGCGAGCGCTCTAATCAGTATACCATAGAGCTCCACGCTTAGTGTGTAGAGTCAGCGTAACCGTGCAGTTTGTCAGTGCAAAGCCGGTCGTTACGCTTCACGAGAGGGACTCTGGCCTTTGGCTCAGGAGGCATGTCTTCCCTTCCATGTCTGGGTGATGATGAGCCAGAGAGAGAGGGAGAGAGCTCGCCCAACTCCCATCAACAGTGCCTTGAATTTCTGGACACTTGCCTTATGTTTGCCTTTGGGATGTCTCCTCAGAACAGGTGTAAACTCAGCAAGAGACAACCCACCCATCCACTAACTTACTTACCTCCCCCCATACCCCGTACTCCTCCCTCGCACTCCCCAAGGAAGGATATTTGGGGTAGTTTGTTTAAATGTTGAGTATTTGTACCCAGATGTTGCTTGATGTTTTTGCTCTCCCCACCCCACCCCCACACCGTCCATTTCATGTGTACAATCTCTTCACGATCCAGTTCTGTCTCCGTGCATTTTGTTTGCCCGCCTAAGCTGTTACCGCTGCCGCCTGTCAGATCTGCAGAAATGTCTCGCAGTGTTGGCATTTTGTATCTCATGGCTGACACGTGCGGAAACCCATCACCGTGCCTAAGAGTATCCAAACCAAACTGAGAATTCCATGCATCCAAACTACACAGAGATCAGTTCCCACCCCCGATTCCTATAGAGTGACTCTAGCTGGAAATCTGCAAGGGGATAGGAGTGGGCTTGGTTACAGTGATGCTCACTGTCCGTTGTACATACAAAGAATAGCCACTTATTGGAGGCCTGGATGCACCGTATGAGATGCATTCAAGCACAGGTGACTGAGTAAGGTAAAGGAGGAATAAAATGAAATCAGGGCAGTTTTCACCAGATATTATCTCTGATTATGCTCCTGCAAAACAAAGGGATGAAATGTATAAAGACAAACTTTCAGATTAAATGGCATCCAACACTATTGTACAACTAGTACATCAGACATGTTTAGGTTCCTGTAGCTTAGAGCACTCGCCATTGGCGGGCAGGCCTTCAGCCACTCTGCCACACCATCTGGAACTCCATCCCGCAGTCCCTCCGCCTCGGCCTCTCCCTTGCCTCCTTCAAGTCCTGTCTCAAGACCCTCCTCTTCGACAACGCCTTTGATCGCTCCCCTTCCCCCCCTGCCCTCCACCCTCCCCAATCCCGACCCCTAGCTTGGGTCCGAAACACTGATTGTCGAGCCCCTTAGGATGTCGATCCGATGTGAAAGGCGCTATACAAATGTAATTTTGTTGTTGTTGTTGAATACACAACCTTCTGATGAAAGTCAGAGGCGAGAGCGCTAGCAACTGAACTAGGCTGGCATGTGAACACATCGGCTAATGGAAAATGCAGGGTTGTTTATAATAATCCTTGCATTTGATATAGCGCCTTATCATGTCATTGAGACGTCTCAAATCACTTCACAGAATATACGGTAAAGTGGATTGACTGGGTATTTTATGGGCGAAACGCGGCAGCCAATTGCACACCACAGCGTCCCACAAATAAACATGGAGGAGTAACCAAAGTTGTTTGTTCCAGTTGTTTGTTTTTCGGATGAGATGTAAATATCATGCGACACTTGTCAACGTTTGGAGAGTGATAATGGTAATCATTTAAGAGTCTCTGCAACTGTTATCAGTCATGACCTGGCTCCAAAGGACTTTGAAATTCCAGCTAGTCTTAGCATGAAGATCACATCATATTAAAATTTTTAACATTGGGCAGAATTGCCGAACGAGGACAGAATCGCTGAGTGGACAAATCTTAAATTGAGTCTTAATTGAGAAGCTGTTTTTCTCCTCTGTTTCTTCAGAAGATACTGGCCTCTACGTTAAGACCGAATTTGAGTATTTCTACCAATTTTTCTGACATTTTTTAAACCAAAATGGTCCTGCAGGCTAAAACCCGGTAGAATTTTGGCCCTCGGTATGTTTAATTTACAATAGCAAATCACATCAATTTACTGTATTCAAGAGCATACATGAGGAAGGAGGGAATAGCGGGGTATAGGAGAAGAAGGGGAATGGGAAGGAGTGGGGGCTTGTGTGGAGTACAAACACTGGTACGGACTAGTTGTACCGAACGGCCTGTTTCCGTGCTGTATCACTCTATATATCGCATCTGTTAAAGTCTTTGAAGCTGTGTGATTGGCAGGTTAGGGGGAGATTCCGTTCAGAATATAGCAGCGAACAGCACAGAACCAGAGAGTCAGTCCGTCACCAGCCTCCGTCAGGCCAAGATTGGCAGCAATCAGCTACTCTCTGCTCTTTCCATTGGCCGAGTGGCCTCTTCTCATTCCACGCTCTCTTGTGTTCCTAATTAGGAAAGGCAGGCATCAGGCCCAGGGTCAGGATGTCTCTGAACTTGAGGAGGATCCAGGAAACTGCATACGTTTAGGAGTGTTAAGCTTGGATGTGCAGAATTGACGTAAGCACAGTTGACGCGAGCGGTCATGTGATAGCAGCAAGGCATTTCTCACATGAAACACTAGCTGCCCAGGTGAACGCTTGACACGAAACACATGATCCCACAGTCAAAGTCCAATCAGCAGGATATCAGCTCCCCCTTTTAAAATCAAGCACATGTCAGCAAGGCCCATTCGGTAGCTGGCACTCTCGCCTCTGGGTCAGGAGGTTGTGGGTTCGAGCCCCTGCATGAAGACTTGACCTCCCCCAGTCTTTGTTGGGAACTGCTGCAGCGTCAGAAGTGCCGTTCCCCCGAACTAAACATTTACCTGTCTTCCTGTGCGACATTCAATCTGTTTTGATTTAACTGCTTGAGTCAACTGTGCTTAAATCCGTTTTGATTTAAGTGCTCTGGGACACTACCCTGGGTGAGGGGCGCGATATAAATGCAAGTCGTTGTTGTTGTGGTTGTTGTTGCTGTTAAAGACGCTATTTGAAAAGTGGGATTTCCTCCAGATGATATGGATATTCACCTCACAGCTGTTGGTGGGCCCCTGCTATTGCCGCTGCACTTGCCTTACAAAAACAATTACTTACAGTTGCTGATAACTACTTGTGAAGTGTTTAGAGGCTTTCCCTTGATATAAAACACTGTAACTTAAGTGCAGACCAGATTGCAGGCAGAGAGAAAAATAAGGGACCCTTCTGGAGATAAAATTTACCACTCAACTTGTTTTGAACCAGACAATAAGGTTAATGAGTAGGCGCCCTCATTTTAAACAATTGGGAGATACTGTATCCTTAGTGAAGGATATGGCAAAGGCAAGTTACACCAACAACTTGCATTTATATAGCGCCCCTCACACAGGGTAGATTCATAGAACGTTTGACAGTGGTGGAGCAAGATACCTGCGCGACCTGAAGATCGAGAAGGAAGGGGGCAAGGCGGAGGGATAGAGGGAGAGTGTTCCAGGGTTTCGGAGCGTAATGGCTGAAAGCGTGGCCACCGATGGTGGAATGGAGGGCAATTGGGACAAATAGGAAAATTGCTGTGCAGAGCACCAAACACATCAAAACGTTTGCAGAAGAGATGATGAGATAAATGAAAAAGTAGTGATCGAGCGATGTGAAATGCAGAAAAAACTTGGGAGATGGTAAGAGGAAAAGGACAGGTAGTTAAGAGGTTATTAAGTCTTGAGTGTTTGGAAAAGAATGGGGGTAATTAGAAGAAGGCGTAAACGAAACAGTTTTGATTGCAAAACCGCCACAAGGACATAGAGAGGAGGCAGAAGGTGGAGAACAGTTTATTTGGGGCTTGGAAAAAACAGAGAGAAAAGTTCAGATAAGTGACAATCTTTACAAGAAGAAGTCGGAGAGCGAGTGCTTGAATAGTTTCTTTCAGAGCCGCTACAGGCATAATAGGCCGAATGTTGAGCATCTGTCCTATGTGCTGATGAGTCATTACAATGGATAAGTACATTATAAAATTACATAGTTATGTAGACTGAAAAAGAGGCATGGAGGGTGAAGTGGGTGGGGCGCGGAGGAGATTCATTGAGTTTGCTCCAGGGAGAATTTCCCCACACACAACTCCAGCTGCACTATAAAGTGTAGTGACTGTGTATTTTGTACGCAAATGCAGTGGAGGGCGGGGAGAAAAGGGCTAACAAGAAAAGGGCTTGTCAAACTAGTCAGGCTCCGCCACTGTTAAGCGCTCTGAGATGCTGCCCGGCATGGAGGGTGCTACATAATAATAATAATAATCCTTGCATTTGATATAGCGCTTTTCACGTCTTCTCGACGTCTCAAAGCGCTTCACAGAATAGACTGTAAAGTGAATTGACTGTATATTTGTGGGCAAACGCGGCAGCCAATTGCGCACAGCAATGTCCCACAAACAGTCGTAGATTGAAAATGACCAATTTATTATTGTTTTTGGTTTTGGAGGGATTATTATTAGGTGTGTGGAGTAAGGAAACTTGCCCAGGGTTTCGCCCTCTGCCTGGAATTGAACTCAGGTCTCTCGCTTGCAAAGCGAGTGCTCTAACCACTGAGCTACAGGACTCCCCAAGTGCAAGTTGTTGTTGAAACTTGCACTCTGGAACTGGAGAGAAAATCGCTCTGCCCTAAATGTTCAGCACCGGTCCTGCCAAAGAGACTGGAACCCTGAGCGAAGAGGGAGGAACAATACAGCTCAGAGTTGCCGGGATCCACGCCCACAATTCCTTAGCACTCTTCCTCCCATCTTAAACCTGGCCTCTCCTGAACTTGACTCCCCAAACCTTCAAATGACAGCGAATAGCAGTCCATCTCACCATTGTTTCTGCTGGACATAGGAACAGGAGAAGACCATCCAGCCCTTCGAGCCTGTTCCCGCCATTCTATTAGATCATGGCTGATTTGTACCTCAACACCAATTACCCGCCTTTGCCCCATATCCCCGGATACCCAGACCCAACAAAAATGGATCCAACTCAGTGTTGAAAACTTGAATGGGTCTGGCATCCAGAGAGAGCATTTGGCTGTATAATGCCATTCATTTTATTATTACTATTATTATTATTTTTTCATTTTATTTCCATTCCACCGCATCTCTGCTTCTCCTTAGCCTTTGCCCCATCCCCCACCTTTGCCTTGTGTTTTTCTGGATCAATGCCCCCCCCCCCAAAAATAAATTTGAGCTCAAGTGGGAGATGTGGTGGTGGTGGGGATGGGGGGGGGTGGGGGGTGAAGAAGGAAAAGGGGGCGGGAGATGGGCGGGGCTTAGAGCAATGACGAACAGGGGCGGGGCCTAGGCCCTGTGAAGCCCCGCCCCCTCCGATCAGCTGTTCGATTACATTCTGAACCAGAAAAATACATCTCTGAAGCTTTTTAATGCATCAACTAAAGGGCGAGGAATAACACATGACGGACAGGGGCTCTGGGGGCTTTTTCTTCTAAGAAGCACAGACATCGCCCCCCCCCCTTCTCTCTCTCTCTCTCTCTCTCCCCCTCTCTCTTCTTTCTGTAAATATATATATATATAGTGTATATATATATATTTTTAAAAAAAAATTGTGTCTTTTTTTCCGGGGGGAACAAAAAAAGCAATCACATCTTGTTTTCTACCTCATTTTTGAACCTTAGGGGTGTTTCATTTTACTGTACTTTTTTTTGGGTGGTGGGGGAAGAGAGAGAGAGAGAGAGAGGGGGGAAGAAAGGGAGAGAGAGAGAGAGTGGGGAAGAAAGAGAGAGAGAGAGAGAGAGAGGGGGGGAATAAAGGAAGGAAGGGGGTCGTTTTGGGGGTTACAAACAGACTGCAAATACTTGACACAAAGAAGCAGGTAAGCCATATAAATTACTATGACTGTACGTGCAAACTGGCAGCGTTTTCCTGTGCATTTTGCGGTGCTGCAGATGCGCTGCTGTTGCACCGCGGAGGCTCTGCTTTGTCGAGTTTGTAATAATTTGGGTTCTTTTGCTGTGGATTTCTCACATCAATCTCCTTTCCTTTCTCTCTCCCCCCCCCCCCCCACCTCCTCCACTCTCTCTCTCTCTCTCTCTTCTTCCCCCACACTCTCATAAAAGGGGGCTTTGGGGGTGAGGGAGAGGGGGATATATAGATATATATATGTATTAGAGAGAGAGAAATAGCTCAAACTGATTTTTTTTGGGTCTGTTTTGGATCGAATTGACACGGAAACATGGTGACTATTGTGCTGTTTGCAGGGCTCGATTCCACCACTTCCTTATAGGTTTGTCCTTGCCATGACCCCCCCCCCCCCCTCCCTTTCCTCTCTCTTTTCCCCCCCACTCCATCCCCATCCTCCCCCACTCCCCCCCAAACCCGATCGATTAGGGATCGAACAAGGATCCCCCACCCCCTGTGTGTGTGTGTGTGTGTGTGTGAGATCCCCTTTCCAAACCTGGTCGAAAGAGGCGTTTAACAAGAATTGTGGACAATAACATTCACATTGGCCACATTTCTCGTTGCTCCGCAAATTGCGATCCTTTGGGCAAACGTTAAACTGGAAGCGCATTAACTCCAATAATAAATAAATCATTGCGCGTTACTGGAAGGAGCCACACAGAAATATATCGGATTGTAGCTGTGTGTCCTTCAAGCCTCTATTAATTGTATTAATTGCTGATCTATATATTTTTTCCTCTCTTTTTGTCTCTCTTTCTCTCTCTCTCTCTCTCTCTCGGTTTCCTTCGAGATGTGGGTTGTAATTCTATTGTGCTGTTAAAACAGCTGATGGTGATGGCATTGGTTGGTGGATCGGATTAGTCAGTAACCTGACGTGAAGATTATTATCATATAAACTGCACAATGACGTGTGCCTCCAACCCCCCCCCCCCCCCCCCCCCCATCCCCAGCCTGACATGACCTCCTTATTTATTTGCATCTCCAATGGAAGTTTTCCAATCCCCCCCCACCCACCACTCCCAGCCTTCTTAATAGATTTGCTCAGAATAGAAACCAGGGAGGCAAACAGTAAGTCTTTATACACACACATATAAAAAAAATAACAATGTGGTCACTCAATCCACGACTGTTTGTGGGGGAACGCCGCTGCGCGCAATTGGCTGCCGTGTTTCGCCCACAAAATATGCAGTCAATTCACTTTACCGTATGTTCTGTGAAGCGCTTTGAGACGTCTCGAAGATGTGATAAGGCGCTGTATCAAATGCAAGGATTATTAGTATTTATAAGTACACGTAGAAGAAACCTTTGTCTCATGATTTTTACATGTTAGTCCAGCCTTGTGTGCCTGCGCCTTTTATTATAATCATCATAATAATAATCCTTGTATTTGATACATCGCCTTATCACGTCATTGAGACGTCTGAAAGCGCTTTGCAGGGTATACCATAAAGTAGATTGACTGTGTTCTTTGTGGGCGAAATGCAGCAGCTGATTGCACACAGTAATATCATACAAAGTCATAGATAATAATCCTTGCATTTGATATAGTGCTTCTCACGTCGGGAGGACGTCCCCAAAGCGCTTCACAGAACACACTGCAAAGTGAATTGACTGTACATCTGTGGGCGAACGCGGCAGCCAATTGCGCACAGCAATGTCCCACAAACAGTCGTAGATTGAAAATGACCAATTTATTATTGTTTTTGGTTTTGGAGGAATTATTATTAGGCTCTGTGTGGAGTAAGGAAACTTGCCCAAGGTTTCGCCCTCTGCCTGGAATTGAACTCAGGTCTCTCACTTACAAAGCGAGTGCTCTAACCACTGAGCTACAGGACTCGAGTTGACCATAGGTCTCGCCCTGTCCGGGAATCGAAACCGGGTCTTTTACTTGCAAGGCGAGTGTGCTAACCACTGCCCTACGGGACTCCATTTTAATAGGGGGAAGGTATAGAAAGAGAGGTTCAGTTGCTAATATGATACTGCTGCAGAGTAATCATTCAATTAAATACAGTGTCTGACTTAAAAACTGACGGCACGTTGGTTAATGTGTGTGTATGTGTGTGTTTGGGGGGTTGGTGGGGGCAGGGGGTGGTGGGAGGAGTGGGAAAGTTTCCAAAACTCTGCATGATCTTAAATAGTTGGTGTTTCAGATCACATCGAACCTGTCGTGAAACGTAGCATTTTTAAAAAACATCTCCCCAACTGGTCCTAAGGCTCAGGCCAGGAGGAATTCTAATCATGTGGGGCAGCCAAGGATTATGAACAATATGCTGGATTTCTGGTGACAACCCCTCATTTTACCACTTGAAATGTGCAGTGTTTTCTCTTGGCCCCCAATTTCCTCCCTCCTGTTGTCTATCATTGTGTGGGTGCTAACAACACGCTGTGACTTAGGTGGTGCTTTTGCATGTTCAAAGTTTGGACAGTGAGTGTTTTACTGGTGGTTTGTAAGCAGGCAGGCACGCTCTGCCTCGCCAAAGAACCAGGGTTTGTATAACTGTGATCCACATTGCCACTGCAGTAAACACTTGGCTCCTTTGAAAGGGAAATTATTGAACGGTTTTGCCAAATGTCCAATCCCACAAACCTAGAACTTGACACGTTTTTCACTTCTCTGAATTTACCAACTTGCTTTTCGATGGTGTGAAATGAAGGAACCATGATAATAAACTGAAATACACAAAATCCACAGTCATTTTGCAATGTTATTCATTATTATACGCTCTGATAAGGCGCTATCTAAAATGCAAGGATTATTATAATAAGATGCTCTGTTTCTCTTCCCTGAGAGATGCAATAATATATAATAATAATAGTCCTTGCATTTTGATATAGCGCCCTATCACGTCATCGAGATGTTTCAAAGCGCTTCGCAGAATACACTGTAAAGTGAATTGTTTGTATATTTTGTGGGCCAAACGTGGCAGCGAATTGCACACAGCAGTGTCCCACAAACAGTCGTGGATCGAACTGACTAAATTATTATTATTATTTATTTTGTTTGAAGGGATTGTTACCCCCGGAAAGCGATCCACCAAAATACTCCAAAAATAAACGGTTTGCCTCTTTTTTTCCTCTTTCCTTTTCGTTGTGTTGCTGCAGGCTTTCTTTGTACAGAAACCAAGTGAAACCTTATGACCGCACTGTCCGACCAGGTCTCGGTTGAGTTGAGATTCGTCAGAGGGGATCCACGCACACAGCTCCACCGTCAGCTTCTCACAGCCCCCTAGGAGATCGCTCATTCGCCTGTGCGTTACATCACACCTCCCGGCCTCCCACACAGCCAGCCAGACAGACACACAGCCAGCCAGACAGACACGCAGCCAGCCAGACAACCAGCCATGTTTCACCGATTCACCAGCCTTTTTTATGGGGGCAGCGAGAACACCTGCATCGAGGGACCTGATCCCTCCCTGACTGAAAAGGAAGATGATGGATGGCTCATTGTGGACTTTCCAGGTCAGTTCATAGAATCAAAGAATCTTACAGCACAGAAGGAGGCCATTTGGCCCATCGTGTCTGTGCTGGCTCTTTGAAAGAACTATCCAACTCGTCCCACTCCTCACACTCTTAAGCCACAGCCCTGCACATTTTTCCTTTTTAAGTACATATCCAATTCCCTTTTGAAAGCTTTTATCGAATGTGTTTCCACCACCCTTCCAGGCATTGCCTTCCAGACTGCAACAAACTCTCTGGGTTAAAAACATTTCTCCTCGATTCCCTTCTGGTTCTTTTGCCAATTATCTTAAATCTATGTCCCCTGTTTCTAGTTCTCAAATGTCTTTGACTCGTGGGTCCTGGGTTCCATCTTGCCAATGTTTGGGTACAAATTCTGTTTGAGCGTTAACCCTGAGCACCTTTGGTGATCAACGACTGTATTGGGGGAAATCCCGTGAGGTGGGCACAATGTAGTTTTAGAAGGCTGTCTGGTTGCTAACTTTATAATGGTAATAATCCTTGCATTCGATATTGCGCCTTATCGCGTCTTCGAGATGTCTCAAAGCGCTTCCCAGAATATACTGTAAAGTGAATTGACTGTATATTTTGTGGACGAAGCGTGGCAGCCAATTGGGCACAGCAGCGTCCCACACACAGTCATGGATTGAGTTTGAATAATTATTTTTATTTTGAAGGGATTATTACCCCCAGAAAAACAATCCGCCAATCGACTAATAACCGGATTCCTACTTACTACTGGGTGAACAGAGGCGTGTGTGTGGAGTAAGGAAACCTACCCAATGTTTTGCCCTGAATCTAACCCAGGTCCTCCCGCTTGAGAGGGGAGTGCTCTAAAATGGAGTGTTCTAGATCGAGTGCTCTATCTTTATTGCTTCCCAGCATGACAAGGTCACTGAGTGGAACAAGGACTGATTAGTCCATGAATGAGGGCTCTCTCCGTGGAATGGGAAGTCCTAAGAGACCTGGCTGAGCTAACACCAACGTTCCTTTGAAGGGACCAATGTTTGATTTGCCACAGGGAGGGGCAAATTTCACAGAGATTGATCTTTACAAGCTATTACAGTTTCTTTCTTGGGAGGTTGAATGTGTTGGATGGTTTTCATGATGGAACCAAATTATCAATGGCCTCCTCTTACCTTCAATGTCTTCTTTTGTGCGGGGAGTTTTGCAAGTTACAGGCACATTCCCAACATTGGCTTTGGTGTCAAACTGGTCTGGAGGGAAAAAGGATTTTCAGATTTGACAACGATTAGTTCCTGGGAGTTCAACTAATTAAAAGTCAATAGAGATACATCCACTGACACAGGAGATTTGGTGTTTGAAGTGTATGTATGTGAGTGAGTATGTGTGAATGTGTGATTATGTGTGTGTGAATATGTGTGTGTGTCTGAATATGTGTATGTGTGTGAATGTGTGTGTGTATATTTGTGTAAATGTGTGTGTGTGTATGTGTGTGTTGTGTGAATGTGTATGTTGTGTGAATTTATGTGTGTCCGCGTGAATGTGTGCGTGTGTGTGTGAATGAATGTGTGTGTTTGTGTGAATGAATGTTTGTGTGTGTGATTGAATGTGTGCGAGTGAATGAATGTGTGCGTGTGTGAATGAATGTACGCTCACATGAGTGTGTGCGCGCATGAGTGGGTGTGTGAGCGTGAGTGTGTGTGGGTGAGTGTGTATGTGTGAGTGTGTGTGAGTGTGTGTGTGAATGTGTGCGTGCGAATGTGTGTGTGTAAATGTGAGTGTGTGTGAATGTATGTTATGTGTGTGTGTGTGAATGTATGTGTGTGAGAATGTGTGTGTGAATTTGTATGTGTAGGAATGTGTGTGTGTGTGAATGTGTGTGTTATGTGAATGTGTGTGTGTGTGAATTTGTGTATTTTGCGTGAATGTGTGTGTGTGAATGCGTGGGCGTGAATGAATGTGTGTGAATGTGTGTGTGTGTGTGTGTGAATATGTGTGTGTTTTATCACAGTTGCTTTTCCCAACGTCATGGCACGTGATTAAATAAAGAAAAAAAAGAAAACAGAAAAGAAATGTAACAGTCACTCACAATGAAGGTGATGTAATAGCTCCACACCCTGATGCTGCAACTGAGTATTAGGTTCACTCTATCTCTGCACACCTAGCTCAAACTGCTGATCTACACCGAATTGGAGTCAACGTGTAGATCAGCTACGACCTAATAGTATAGCGAAACATGCTCGAGGGGCTGAATGGCCTGCTCCTGTTCCTATGTTCCTAAAATGGGTTTGAGTTGGTTGTGATGGTGGGAGTCGATTGGAAGCTAAGGATTGGTAGTTTCTCTTTCCCAGCCTCAAGTTTCAGTGGAAGTCTTTCTGTTCATATCTTAAAACAAATTCCCTTTTATTTCCCCTCAACTTTCCTGCCCTTGTCTCTGCAGTTGGTGCTGACTCACTGTGGTCTGGTAACTCAGTGTTGGCCAACCTTCATGTTTTTGGCAGGATTCTCAATATCTGACAGGACACAGCAGTGCAGGATGAGTCAAAGATTCCTCTGTCCTTTGATCTCGAATATCAGTATGCCCTGCCATAAATATCTTAACCCTTCCCTTTCCAACTCTGTCCTGAAGTCCTGGTTAGGATAAAGGTTGCAATGGAAATTACCACCCCAACCCCCCTCACCCACCCCTCTGTTGATTGTAGACAAATATATCTCCTGCCTTCTACATATTGCAGTGGCGAGGTCTGTAATGCTCTGTTCTGCCTCTAATTCTCTCCCGTGGGATAGATTTGGAACCAAAGGAGTTACAAACCGTGAAATTTTCCAGTCCTGTTATTTCAACCCTCCCAAGAATTCCCAATAGCAGATCTGCCCAACTTTCTTCTTTGTTTTCAAAGTGTGTTACACCCGACCCTATTCCCCCACTCATTCCCACTTGCCCCCGCAAAAAACAAATTGCTCATCTTTGTGCATCTCCACTGTAGTTGTCGTGGGGGGGAGGTGGTGGGGGAATAACTGACCTATAGGCACAGGAGAAGGCCATTCAGCCACTTGAGCCTGTTCCGCCATTCTGTTAGATCATGGTTGATGTGCACATTATCTCCAAATAAAATCCTGGCTGTTTTATAGGTTAATTGGCCCAGTGTAGATTTTTCTCACTTTTTTTAAACCGTTTTTACTTTTAATCTGTTCGTTCACTGACTGCCCCATTGCAATTCAAGCAGATGGTTTAGTTTGGACCTACAGGGTGTCCACAATGGGTGGGGGGGGGGGGCGGTAACAGGACTTTGTGGAGACCCTGTCATTTACCATTGAAGGAGATGGTGATACCTAACTCCAGTGGTGGGTGGTGGGTGTGGGCAACGCAGGCAAATCCGAACGATTACCTACACTTGGAGGAGGCGTCATGGAATAGTGATCAGCAGCAGATGGGAACCCTGTTTGCTTTACTTTGTGTTCCCTCCGCCCACCCTTCTCCCTCGCCTAAGGGTGCGAGGCCCAATTGTTGCGATCTACTGTTACCCCAGCTGACTTTGTTGTTTGCCTATAGTCTGTACTCGGAATAATAAATTACAGAGAGGAAACGCCGTCTCAATAATTCGGAGAACATTGGTCACATTTGTCAGAGTGCGGGGAGGGTGTAATGTTTCCCCTACACCTGTGGTCTTGCCTGTGCCTCAGGATATACACAGGAGAGACAGACCCTATGACAGGCACCATTGTTTCGTTCTTGTTCTCACTTTTAACTCTGCCTTTATTTTGCAATTTGCACCAATTTGTGTGTTGAATGTCTCAATTTTATTTTCAATGCCAACGAACCACCCTCTCCCCACACGCCCCCACCTCCCAAGTGGGTTGGAAATTGGACCATAGCCCACAAAATACACAGTCACTTCACCTTATATTCGGTGAAGCACTTAGAGACATCTCAATGATGTGATACGGAGCTATATCAAATGCAAGGAGTATTATTAGAGTGAGATCTGGTTATTATTTTTTCTAATCCTGTGTATAAAGGAGAACTCTTATGTGCTTTGCCCTAATGTCACCATGCCTCGAAATTCAGTGAGATTGTGGGGTTGGGAGAGGGGAACGTGAATAAAGTGGAATTAAAACCTTTTCTCAAATAATTTCATACCAATATCCACCCTCCCGTGCTTTCAATAATTCTCGATTTCAAGATTCTCACGCTCGGCTTCAAATCCCTTCATGCTTTGGTACCTCTCTACCTCTCCCATCTGCTTACTCCCCAATGCACAACTCATTGCTTACGCTTGACTGGCTCCAGCCTGCTGCTTGTCCCTCGTGCCCTCCGTTCCACCATCGGTGGCCACGCTTTCTGCCACTACGCCCCAAAACTCTGGAACTCTCTCCCTCAATCCCTCTACCTTGTCCCATCCCATCCTTCCCCATCTTCAGGTCGCGCCTGAAGACCTTCCACTTCGACCTGCCTATGGTCACCTCCCTCCTTCCCCCAGCTCGGTATCGTGCTCCAACACTGTTGAGTGCTCTTTGTTGCTAGAGCACTGGAGGGGCACTGTATAAATGCAGGTTGTTGTTGCTTTTGAGTTTCATCTTTGCTCTCAACACAGCTGCGTTACAAGCCATTGGGATGCCTCTCTCTCTCTCTCTCTCGCTCTCTTTCTTCCACCACAACTCCGCCCCACCATCTTAGCCCCTTCCCCACCTTTCCGACAAATGCTAGTCTTTTGCTGTGGTGTGCCTTTCCACTGTGCTTGTCAGAACCCAATATTGGGACAAGTGGAAAATTGGAGGAAATTGCTCTTTACTGACTCGTTCTTAAAGAGGATTAACCTGTAATTTTTTTTTAAATGGTGGACTAGGCTCATCATTCTGAAAATGGCTAATAAGTCTCTTTTGTGTTTTGTTTTGTTTTCCCACCTCCCCCTCTTCTTTTCCTCTCCCCAATTCACCTCCCCTCCCTCACCCTCCCACACTACTTCAATAACGTACTTCATTCTCACCCAATTTCCAATGGACATTGCTTACTCCACTGGATGGTCACATGCACTCACCTTCTCAACACCCCCAACCCCAATCCCAAATTTAGATGATTGCACTAAATGCTCAAGTGGAGGAGTGGAGGTGAAGGCAAGCACGTGTGTGCCCAGCCCTCATCTGCCTGATGACCACCTTCCATTGGCCTCTTCTTCCCTTGAGTCTCTCTGTCACTGTGGAATCAGCTCCCGTCCTCCACGGTCTAAAGCCTGCACTTTGGAAGAGAGTTGGTTTGTCACCCCTCCCCCCTGTTTTACTGCAGAAGGCCAGGAGCCAGGGGAGGTGGAGATCAGCCCCCTGGAGAACCTGCTAATCGAACACCCCAGCATGTCCGTCTATGCCGGCAGCAACACCAACATCAGCACTATGGAGGACGAACCATCTGAGGTGCCCAGCAGCAGGTAAGTGTATGTCCAAAATATCACATTGCTTTGTATCTTTACTTACTTCAGCCTCACTGCTCCCACCCTTTGGAACTCCATCCCCCAGTCCCTTTGCCTCACTCCCACCCTTGCCTCCTTCAAGGCAAGTCTCAAGACCCTCCTCTTCAACCACACCTTCAGTTGGCCTCCTACTACTACCCCTAGCCTCCCTGCCCTCCACCCTTCCTGACCGCAACCCCCTGCTCGGGTGCAAATCCCTGGCTGTCCTGCGTCATGAGATGTCCTTCCGACTTGAAAAACGCCATACAAATGGTTGTTGTAGCTTTGAAAAGGTGTTAAAGACAACTTCCTCTAACCCCTCCCTTTATGGTTTGTTTGGCCGTGAACTTAACCATGTTTGTGTGTGAGTTGTGAAGCGATCCATAATAAACAGCTGTGCAGTGCTGGTGTATTGACGATAGTGGGTCCATTTGAAGGAGCCTTGCCTATCTCCTTGCTCTTCCCTCACATCTGCCTTCCGCTCCAGCACGTTACACTTGGTTATCTATCGTTGCTGCTTGGTGAGCTTATCGTTCAGTCACTGTGCTATCTTTCCAATCCTCTTGTAGCTTTGAAACCGCTCGCCCTCGGTCAGAGACAGAAAACGCTCTGTTGTTGCTCTTCGCACAACAAGGAAGGTGATTTATTCTCCCTACTGTCTATATTTGTCTTAAGAGTTTTTCTGCTGGGATCTGCCTCCACTCAATTCGAGTTTGACTGGCTGCTGTACGTTATTTTCTCTCTTCACCCCCACACCCCACTTTCCACCATCTTTCCTGAAGGCCAGTCAACCTCTGACCGGTCTTCCCCATTGTCAGTGGGATCTGGGATTGAACCTCTGTCCACCTCTGTATCTATGATGCGCAGTTTCCCACGAGCAGTAACTTTCCGATACAGTGGTTGAGGCAATGCTGGGCAAATATTTTCAATGGAACGCTATATTTTCAAAGGACCCTTTTGAATTTGTTTTACCATCTAATTTCACGGTTACCGATTCGCACCCAACCTTATCTGGGAACCGGTTTAGCCAATCAGACTTTCTGTGTTGAGAAAGGTGACAATTTAAGTCCTAGTTTGTACACAATTAATCTTACTCAAATTTAACTGTTTAGTTTTAGTACTCTTTGAATCTCTGTTGGAAACAGCTGGAACCCGGCAATTTGTTGATTCTGTTGACCATCTGTTGAGGTTTGGCTCTTGATGTTTCAACCTCTTTAATTCTAATTTCACAAGCACCTTCCTGTGTCCCCATTTGTCCAGTTTATTGCACATCGCTTGTGTTGCTCCGCAGCTGTTTTTTCAGGCGTATCGCTCCTCAGACCCGGGCATTGCCCCAATAATTAACCCTTAAGTGTGGTTTCCTTTCACAACAACCACATAACTCTCACCACGTCTGGGCCCAACCCTTGTCTTCCTGATCACAACCTTCCTTCCATCGGCCTCTTCTTACCTGTTTATGTTTTGTATTAAATATTTCGGATGAGACGTTAAACCAAGGTCCCTTCTGCCTCTTCAAATGGACATTAAAGATCTCCCGCGGCGCTGTTCGAAAAGAGAAGTGAATTTCTCTCTCACTCCCGTGTACTCGCCAACAATTCCCCCAAATAAAACTGGTCACTCACTTCGTGGTTGTTTGTGGGACACTGTGGTGCTCAATTTTACTACCGTGTTTCGCCCACAAAATACACAAGTCAACCCCGCTTTACAATATATCCTGCAAAGCGCTTTGAGACGTCTCAATGATACGATAAGGCCCTGCAGCAAATGTGAGGATTATTATTATTAAACATCGCGCTTTCTGTACGGTCAATGCTGTGTGAGATCCTTCTGTAAAAATTTTTTTTATCCTCTCCCCTTCCCCCCTTCCCCCCCACTCCTGGTCTTTTCCTCCCCCTCTCTCCCGCCTTTAGGAGCGCACGTCAGCCCAGGGCGGAGAGACTGACAGCTCCCAGCCCAGCTGTCGCGGCGGGTATCCAGTCTAGTCTGGTGGAGAAGGTGAGTCAGGTCCGCCGTCTCCAGCGTGCCAAGCAGCGGATGGAGAGACACCAGCTGAGCCGCAACCGCATTCAGAGGCAGAACCTCACCAGGGAGTGTCGCTTACACAGGACCAAACACCACGGCAGCTTCGTGTACCAGCCTCGCCAGCGTCACTGCAACTATTAAACCAATTCAGGGACAGGACGGGTTTGGGGTTGGGGTTTTGAGATTCGGGGGTTAAGGGGAAGTTGGATGGCATTAATAAGTTTAGGTGAACTGTGTATTTCGCATTTCATGAGCTGGCCTTCTGACTCTAGACCTGGCTTTTAGAGTAAAGGTGTTCCCGTGCTTTGTCTAACACCTGTCATTTGGTACCTTCTTTTTTTTTTGGCCCTCGTTTCTGTCTGCTTTTAAGATGTTTTTCCGAGAGGAACCGGGGCTTTCATGCCAACTGGGTCCTTGGCTTGTGCTGTCTCTGTTTGAGCCGTGGTGGCATATACTGATGTGTGTTGTGGGGCAGGACAAGCGCATTTAAGCTGATTGGGTTTGGTTGGTTGGTGGGGGGGGAAGCGGGAAGGAAAAATGAAAGGAAACCAAATTGGGAATGTACTAGCAAGTTAAACTGTTGCGGGGAGGGAGGCAATGACTCGGCTGAGCTGGTCTTATCCATGTGCCTGAATACATTTGCCACAGCCTGGGTTGGGGTGAGGGGGGGAATGGGATGAGACTGACTTGAGATCCTGCTATCCTCTCGAGCCATTTTGTCGAGAGGTGTTCACAGCTAATTAATCATCAGCAGTGACTGTACCTGCCCTGGGATGGCATTCTCACAGGCGTCCGTTACCCATGCACAGACATAGAAAGCGATGCCCTCGTGTCTCATAGTACAATCCTCGGAGCTGGGCTCCATTAGGGTCCCTCTCCTCACCAGACGTATTCACTCTGGTTATATTCTGTACATTTGATACTGCACCTGTTCGCCCACAAAATACACAGTCAATTCACAGTATAAGCTGTGAAGCCCTTTGAGAAGTCTTGAAGACGTGACATGGCGCTATATCAAATGCAAGGATTATTATTATTATTCCACCTTGCTCGAGATTTAACTCTAATTATGTAGCGTTTTAGAAAGGCCAGAATTTGGCAAATCCTTAAAAAACAGTTTTCTCTTTTAGTACTTTTAAGTGCTTTGAGAAAGTCACAATGATGTGTTAAGGGGCTACATCAAATGTGGGGATTATTATTATTATTATTGCAAAACCAGCTTGCAAACGACTTTAGGTCATTTTGTTTTGTAAAAAAAAGTATTTGCCAAATTCTGGACACTATAAAATTAACTTCAAAGTTGAGACTGAATTTGGCAATTTGCCAATTTGATCTAATTCCCTTCAGTGTAGTTGCTGCTATGGCTCTATGTGGGTGGCAGTGAGTGGGTTGGGGTGTAGGAAATACACTGTGCAGAACTGTATGGCTGATTCTCGGGCTCTTATATCTACCTGCTAACACATAACTGAATGCCTTCTATAACTGTCAATACTAACTCAACAGTCTGACTTCCAGATCAAACAAAGTGTGGTGCTGAACTGATAAGAAAAAAATACCTTATTTTGTAACTGAAAAAAAAACAACTTGAGTAAATTTTGCTTAACAGTATTTTAGCATAAGTTACAAAGAGAAGAACCTTTTTAATAAGTATATTTGTGTGTGTGTATACTGTGTACTGTGATTACCAGTGTTTTGAATTCAGTTTGCTCCTCAAGACTGCGGATGAGAGTGCACACACCTGACTGACGTATGGGTTTTATTTTCCGCTGTCGGGAATTTTTTGTTATTATTTGTGTAATTTATTTTGAAGGGAACGTGTGCTCCCTTTCCAAGAACCGACAGCGCAGACTCTCAGGGACACCTCAGCACGTACACCATTCAGTGCGTGTCTACGTTAACAACGCAAACCGATATCCATCCACCTTGACCGGATAGTGCGGAGGGAGGGGGAATACACACAGGCAGTACTTGGATGTACTTTTCATTCCCCCATCCCTCCTCCCTCCCTCCCTCTCCCTCGCCCCATCTCTTTCCTCCCCTCCCCGCCGCCCCACCCTCCCCATCCCACCTCTCCAACAGCTTCTGTTTGTCGCAGGGGGTGGGTTTATGTACAAAAGTTGACAAAGCCAACTTGCATTTATATAGCGCCCTTCATATAGGGTATAAGGTGTATGTATAGCTCCCCATGTGGAGCTAGATACTCTTTATATAGGGTAACGCCAGGAGTGCTTAGAGCTATTGCCTGTGCAGCGTTCAGGAACCTAGTCATTTAGAAACAGGTAACAACACACCAGGTACTGTAATGGCATCACTGTAACAAGGGGTCCCTATTCAATGAGCTGATCATGCAACGAGATGGCTATGTGGGGGTGGGGGGGTGCCTCGGACATAAGTGATTCCCTCCCACAATGAGGATTTATTTCGATGATTTTTTTTCTCTCTCTCTCTCACGGGGTAACATTTGACACAATCTTTTAATAAAGAAGCTTTTCTGTCAAATCAGAGAGTTGAATATATTAAGGGGTGGGGGCGAAGGGGGGGGGGGGTGGGCAAGAGAGAGCTAAATCACCAGTGGTGTTTCAGGGGCTATTGTGCGACATTCATTTACGCTTGCATTAAGAAATAAGCTTTTGCTGTTATTTAAGTAGCCTGTCATTTCAAATAGCCTTTTTTTTTGGGGGGGTGGGGTGAGGGGAGAAAGAAGAGTTTAAAAAAAAAAGATTTTTTGCTGAGGTCAAATCAAGGAGAATAGCATTAAGTGACCACAACTTGCATTTATACAGCGTCCGTGGAAAAGTAAAGCAGTAACATCACCGAGCCACTTTCAGTGATGGGGACAGGTGGAGAGAGGGGTACATTGCAATAGGGGCTTAGTATTATGATCTTTTCCACCTCCCCACCCCCCCAGCCCCCTTTCTCCACTCTGCAGCCTTGTAACTTTAAGGCCCCAATCCCTGTATTTTATATTCCGATTCCAGTTACCTAACTCCACCTATCGGACATCATTGCACAATAACTTTATTTGTTTTATATACAGTATATATATATGTATCATCAGAAGTCTTCGATGGGACAGGCTACATACGATGAAAGAAAAACAAATTACTGTAAAACCATGTTAGTTAGTTTAGCCTGATGTCTTTCTTTTTAAAACACAAAACACACAACTTTTAAAAGTTATAAAACTACTAATTCTGCATATTCTACCGAGCAGCTAAAACTGATCAGGCCTCTTTTTAATGTATTTGAAACAAAGCACTTGTTCTGATTTTACAATTTCTAGCGTGTTTCTGTAGTATGCGCGTGTGTGGGCTTGTACGTGTTATCACATACATATAATTATAAATATATATAAAATAGTTCTATTGCTTGTATTTGTCAGTAAACTGTAAATCTCATTATACATCAGCTGTGTTATGTGCCTTCCACTCTGGGGTCCTTGTGATGCTGTTTAAATCAAGATCAGTGTGTAGGTGTGACTGATTGAGTGGGTACATGTACAGTGTCCACATGATGCAGTGTACACACATGCTGTACATCCATATTTTTATATTTTGAAACAAAGCATTGATACCGTTAGGAGCACTAGAGTAAATGTCCTATGCAAACAGTCTCAAAGCTTTCTTTTTTTTGCATGTGTTATTCCACTCTGATCCGTACTGTTTGAATACCTGTTTGAATACCTGTATTTTTGGGGAGGAGGTGTGTGTGTGTGTGCGTGCGTGTGTGTGCGGGGGTAGGGGATAGAGTGTGAAATTGATGTGTGAATGAGCAGTAGACTCCGGATGAGGATGCAGTGCTTAATAAATAATAATAATATTGCCATCATAGCCACTTGATGCTGAATCTGTGATTATTTCATTATTTTCATAAAAACTTTAAAAAAAAAACACTGTTCTTTGTCCTCTGGAATTCTTTAAACCAGTTGTCCAAATTCGTGGAGTTTTAACTTTTTTTTAATATGAATTTTCTCTACCCCACCCAATAAATACATAAATAAATCAGCAATTTACAATGATTCACTCTCTACCAAGCACTACAGCATAAATGTGTGTCAGCCTGGCTTAGTGGTCACGCTTTCTCTCGCCTGAGTCAGAAGGTTGTGGGTTCAAGCCCCCATGTCGGTACTTGGAATCACATCGTCTAAGCTGACGCTTCAATGCAGCGCTGGGGTGTATGTTGCATTGTTGGAGATGTCGTGCTTCGGATGAGATGTTAAACTGAGCTCCCTGTCTGCCTGACCAGGTGGATGTTAAAGATCACCGTGGCGCTATTTGAAAAGAGAAGGGAGTTTCTCTCTCCTGGTGTCCTGGCATTCCCCCAAATAAAATTGGTCATTCACTCCATGGCTGTTTGTGGGACATTGCTGGGTGCAACTGGCTGCTGTGTTTCGCCCACAAAATTACACAGTCACTACACTTTACAGTGAATCCTGTGAGGGGTTTTGAGACGTCTTTTCGATGTGGTAAGGCTCTACCAATTGCAAGGATTATTATTATTATATGTAACGTTTGCTTATGGAGCTCAGCATGTGCCTCGCTTGGTTTATGATTCAATCTGAATGAAGGTTAAAAGCTCACTTCCCAGGGCTGACCTGACTTGCTTTGTAAACCACACACCACAGAGGAGGTAAACTAGTTATAATAAGGGATTTATCTAAGATGAGAGATTGTGTAAATTAACCTGGGTCATAACCTGGAACTGAGAAGGTTAAGGGCAGTGGATCTAATTGAGCTGTTTAAAAACAAGTTGAATTGACCGGCTTCGTTTGTGAGGAGATGATGCTGTTAGAGGGATCCAAAGCAAAGGATGTAGTCTTAGAACTGGAGCTAAACCAGTTGGAACAATATTTTCGGATGCACCAAAACAGTACAGTAGAACAAGAGGGCTGGACTTGCAAAGGGCAATTTCAGGAAAGGTACAAGGGAGTTTTTCTTTATTCAGAAGGTAATTAATGACTGGGAACAAGTTGAAAAGAAGACTGATTGATGCCAGGACACAAAATACACTACAAAATTACATTTGCGTAGTGCTTTTCACGTCGGGAGGATATCCCAAAGCGCTGGGCTGATATCAAATGGATCAAGGTGTGATCTGGTGAAGTGAGGAAATATTTCTTCACACAAAGACTAATGACTATTTGGTTAGACTGCAAATGGTCTGGGCTTTTTTTTAAATAAAAGGGATGGACGTTATAATTGGGAAGTGCTAGTAAGGATATTTAGTGTCTTAGAATCCTGACTTGCCTTACTCCACATAAGCACTTTCTCTACACTAACATTTCAGTAGTTATCTGATATTTCCTCCCTTGATTTTCTTTTAAGTTTTACTCATTCCTGCTTTGTGCATGTGCTGAGTTTCAATGCTGACTCAATGATGTTTTTGCTTCTTTTTTGCATTGAGGCCATATTAAAAGTGCAGGATACCTTTAGAGTCAGTTAACACGTATTACAAATTCAACTGTTTTTTTTGGTCAGCTGGTTGTCTGACACATGCGGAAACACATCACCGTACTTAAGAGTATCCTGACTAAACTGAGATTTCCATGCATCCCACCTACACATGGAAAACCCAGAGATACATTGTTGGAATGGAATGTGCCCTCTCTTCCTGGAGGGATGCATCCTGCTTACCTAATTCCGGAAATTATTAGGCGCAGGTTTGTTAAGAGCCAAGGGTTGGGGGGGAGTCCAGAGTGTGCGTTGGGATAACTGCTGGAGTCTAACCAGCTAAACCACAATGGCTTACCATTGATGTTGCTGAGCAAGCTAACAACAACAACAACAAAAATAACATTTACAGAGTGCCTTTCAGGTCAGGAGGATGTCCCAAGGCACTGAACAGTCAGGTGTCGGGAACCAAGCATGGGGGAGGGGTGGTGTAGGAGTGAGGGAAGGCAGAGAGGTGGGAGGGAGACCAAAGGTACGGTCGAAGAGAAGGGTCTTGAGACCGGCCTTGAAGGAGGGAGGAAGTCAAGCGA